AATTCATCACTTGATGGATCAGCTTTTCCAGTTCGAGTTCATAATGAGAAGAATTCATCTGAAGAAGGAAGAAAAAGTTCATAATGAGAATAACTTGTTTAACCTTTTATTCAAATTCATCACTTGATGGATCAATATTTCCAGAGAAAGTTCATAATAAGAAGAACTTATCTGAAGAGGAAGAAGAAGTTCACAATGAGAAGAGCCTGTTCAACCTTTTACATAATTTTATCACATATATGTTAGCATCAACCTTTCCAGAGAAAGTTCATAATGAGAAGAACTCATCTGAAAAAGAAATAAGAAGTTCATAATAAGAAGAGCTTATTCAACCTTTGGAATGACTCTATCACAGAAGGATATAGGTCAACATCATCCCCAGCGGAAAGTTCATAATGAGAAGAACTTATCTGAAGAAAGAGAAGAATTTATTCAACATTGCTATTATAATCAAATGAAGCCAAATGGATAAAAAAAATTATTATCTTTTCGTCTTTGCCCTATTCTTGTTAACACAAGAATGAGCAAAGAGGGGCAGCTGAAGATACTAATTTTTTTTACTCATTTTATTATTATTATTATTATAATAATTATTATTATTATAATTATTATTATTAAAAAATAATTACAAACAGGCCCAGATTGGACCGACCCAATTACAAAGGACCCAACCGGCCCAAATCAGAAACCCTAAAACCCAATTAGGGTTTTCTATCCAGCTGCCGCCGCTTTGCTTCTCCACCGTTGGATCTAGCATTGATCCAACGGTCCAGATGGCGCTAGACGAAACCCTAGGGTTATGATACCCTAGGGACTACACCAGCTGTCGCCGCTCCACGTCGCTCCAGCCGCCGCCACGCCCCAACCGAAGGCTCCAGAAGCTCTAACGCCAGCCGTCCGAATAACAACAACCCACAACCGGCAGTAAACCAAAACAAAAACGAAAAAGAAAGGAAAGAAGCTTACCGAGGAAGCCACCGGACCTCTTCAAACGTCACCAAAACCTTCGAAAACCGAAGGTAGTTCTTTAGATTTGCTCCGATCGGAGCTATTTAGGAGAAAAGAGCACCGGAACCGTCCTTAGGACGGTCCGATCTACATAATGGTGTAAAAATAATTTTTTCCGGCCACCGGATGCGGTGGCCGGCGGTGAGAGTCACGGCGGTAGACGGCTGCCGTCCGGTGACCGGCTTCCCTTCGATGAGGGAAGCTAGAGAAGGGAGAGCGTTTATTCTCTCTCAGTTAGAGAGAGAAATAAAAAAAAGAAATGAGATATGGCCCGAAGGGCCAGCCGAATTCGGCTTTAAATAGCCCTTCCCGAACGAGTCGTCGGGGAGGGCTTCGTGTAATTAAATAATAGTTAAATCCTTTCCGCAGTCAGCCTATTTTGTAAACTTTACATTTTAGTCACTAAATCGAGTTATAATCCTTTAATTCGGTTCTTTAATTTCAATTTTATTTATTTTAGTCCTTTATATTAAAATAATATATATACGGTAAATACAGATTTAATCCCTTATTTTAATAATTAATATTTAAATCCCGAGTTTATATTTTTAATTTATTTTAATCTGATATTCGAATTTTAGAAGTTTTATTTTAGTCACTGATTAATAAATAAGAAAATAGCATGTTTAATCCCTATAATTTTGATTAATTATGAATTGGATATTAATTTAATTTACTATAATCTAGTCACCATTTTAAATATTTTCTTATAGTTCTAATTGTATTTTTATTGTTTTAATTTATTTGTTATATTTAAATATTTTTATTATTATTATGTATCATAATATATATATAATAAATAATAATTTATTTTTTTCGATAAATTATTTTAATATTTATTTTTCAATATCGAAGAAAAGGGCAGTCTTAATATAACTGGATGTCCTATTCTGGTATTTTAAAATTAAATATTATAAAAAATTATTATTTAATTTTATTCAAATTAATATTTATTAATATCAAAGAAAAGAGCTGTCTTAAGGCACCTAGAAGTACTTTTCCGATATTTTTAAATATTTTTTATATAATTTTGAAATAATAGGATTATAAATTAAATATATTTTGAATTTTTAATAATAGAGACAATTTATAATTAAAAAGTACCAATTTTGGGCGTTTTAGGGGTGCTAATCCTTCTCTAAACGTAGACGACCACGAATTCCTTTTTATTATTAAAAAGAACGAATTTTTGGTTATAAACGCAGATCAGTTCATTTTTTAATTGATGTTTTCTTAAAACTCTTTTAAAAAATAATTTTTAGGTATTTGACCTATCTAACCCAAAAGGCCGATGGCGACTCCCAAATTATTTTCAAAAACCATTTATTCACATCAATTTTTCCGTCAAATAAATTTTTCGTACCCGGACGAAAACCGGTTACGACACCCGAAAAATAGAATGTACCTAAGTGATACTCCTTTTAGCTTAGAAACAGAACTTGAAAGAAGTTAGAGAGCTTTTGAAAGTGAAACATTTGTATATAACAAAAGCTGTAAATAAGCTCCCATTTATAGGCTTAAAGTAGGGGTAAAGTGATAAAAGATTCAATAGTTACAAAATAAGGAATTGTCATAAACACAATTTTAGTGACCATAAGCATTAATTTGTAACAGCTAGAAATAATAAAATATAGACCTTAATCAATAATATTTTACTGGAAAATCTATAAAACACACACACGAGTCGAATCGAATCGAACAGCACCAAATAATTTTTATCTAATATAAAATTCTTTGTATTACCAATATAATTCTCGTTTAAAAATGGTCACATTGACAGAATTAACCTCGGACGAAAGCTCCGATGAATCTAAGCTCATAAGAAGAGATTAAGGAAGAACAGAAGAATGAACAGGAAGCAATTAAGAAGAAACTGAAAATGGTATAAGAAGTATGACTAAAAATGGACACAATATTTATTAAACTTGTCTACTTGGCCCAAAGGCACTACAAGCCTATTTATACAGACCCGAGAGAGGTAAGGGCCCAAAGCAGTTATAACAACTATAATTACTTTTAGTTACACGAATACACAAATACACTATATCATTCTTCCGGTTCCTCTTGCTCTTGACTTGTTTGAGCAGAGAAAACTCCAAGCCTGTCATGCATGTGCTCAAATAGTGTTGGAGGAATAGGTTTCGTCAGTATATCTGCAATCTGCTCTGTAGCTGGCACGTAATTGACAACAAGTTGACCAGTCAAGACCTTTTTACGAACAAAATGGTAGTCAATCTCAACATGCTTAATTTTAGCCTGATGAGTAGGATTAGAAGCCATGGAGACCGTGGATGTATTATCACACCACACAATTGGAACCCCAGGCAATTGAATTCCAATTTCTTGCAACAAATGCTCAATCCAAACAAGCTCAGAAACAACATTTGCCAAACTTCTGCACTCAGCCTCAAAAGAAGACCTAGAAACAACAGGCTGCTTTTTGGAACTCCAAGCAACCAGATTTGACCCCAAGAAAATACAGTAGCCAGTCGTGGATCGTCTATCTTCAACTGACGAGGCCTAATCAGCATCTGTATAGCAAACTAAACTAAACATACCTGCTTCTTTGAACACCAGCCCATGGCTAAGAGTTCCACTGAGATATCTCAGTATACGTTTAACAGCTTTTCAATGAATGTCACGAGCGTCATTCATGTATTGGCTTACCTTATTGACCGCATAAGTAATATCTAGTCTCGTAAGGCAGACATATTGAAGCTCTCCAATAGTGCTTCGAAAAAGATGAGCATCACCAACATCTGGAATTCAAAGAATCGTCATCAAATAAACTTTTTTTAGTTCCTCATTAGGCACATTCGACATCAGTTTTTCATGGAAAGAAACTTCCGGAATTATTCTCCACCTCCGCATGATCCAGATCCACTGATTATTCCTCCAAAATCTGGTCCACACCATCGTCACCGGATCCAAAATTTTGAGTGTTCATATTTTTTCCATGTCTTGTGATTTTTTTATGCATAGGATGTTCAAACGGTAGATTTGGTAACTAAAACCGATCAAATTCCCATTAGCCGAATTAATTAAAATTTTTAAACATTAACTGAATTGATTTTTTCTAAAATCATTAATCGTACAAAGTTCTGCTAATTCTATTGGTGACTGAATTAATTGAAATTTTAATATTTTTTAGGTTAGATTAATTTGAGTTTAATAGAAATGTTTTTATTTAAGTTAAAATTTAATTAAGTCTTGACAATTTAATGGGTCTAGTATGATTAAAAATAATTTGATATTAATTCTTAATTGATTAATTAACCGATTTCAAATCGAAATAATCGTCACCAAATTTAAAAAAAATTAATTGTTCCCTAACCAATTAATTAGGCGAGCATCCGTTTTAACCAAACTAATCAATTTGATTGATTAATTCGATTAATCTCGAGAAGTGAACACACCTAATACTGTGATGTCAAATATTGGTCAGCAAACCGACTTTGTCCACCCCAAGCATCAATTTAGAAACCATTTATTTTTCTTTTTATAACATTTTATGTAAGTTAAGCAATTCATGTCATATGAATAGTATACTATCATTTTTCTTATTATTACCGATAATCGGTTGAATTAGTGAGATGAAAAGCTAAATTTTTTAAGTAAATTTAAAGATTTAAATCTTGACGTTTACTAATGAAACAAACAAAATTAGAAGAATCACCCCTTTATTTAACCTTTACAGTACTCAATTCAAATTAATCAGTTAATAATTTGAATACCAATGATAATATCAAAAAATCAGTTTTAATATTCCTTTGTCTTCTAGATAAATCACCATACATATATAGTCATATTTGTCCATCTAGATACAAGATTGCTCGTATGTTTTTTGTTGTATGTGGAATAGTAATTGATTATCGTTTGTAAAATGATTTTAAAACATGGTCCAACATCCGAATGCCGATTGGTGCATAATCGAAGAGCAGGATTTGAAACCTCCTCACCCAAATCAAAACGAAGAAAAAGCAACAAAAAAACCGTAACCAACATTCGACATCATACGCAAGATTTTACTAGTTTCTCAGTAGAGTGGATACTACACTACTGCTAGTCTGATAGGATCATACACTTCATTACATAACCATCACAAACATTTTATTACATTATTCATACTCTTAAAAGCTTCAAAGGCCTCGTCCTTTCGAATTAAACCTTAGGTGCCCATCCGGCGATCACATATTCCTCAGCAGCTTGTGTTTTCACAAATGATTCGCGAGAGAAAACCAACTGCAGTTTATAAGACAAGTTCAATTTTCCTGCAATACATCGAAAAGAAAGTAGTAATATACCTTCATGTAATTTCGGACATTGGCTAAGCTTTCTGGAACAGTCCACTTCTTGAAGTGGCCAACAGCTACCTCAAGATGGTAAAGCTTTGGTGCTAAAGCTAAATCAACAGCAATTATATTTTCACCAGCAATGAATGGACCCTGATATATACATCAACAACAAATTGATTGAACACGTTCGACATATAATCGTATACAAAACTCGCTCCCAAATCTAAGTAACACATAATAGATGCAAATTAGGATAAACTGGAATGTTAAAACAATGTTTTACTCCAATTGGTGTCTTAGCATATGTGTTGGATGATTGGACATGAGTATGAGATATGATCTTTTCTATTTATGAAAATTATTGCAAATACACAAAGTAAATACATACACTCGCTCTCGAGTCCAAAAACATAAATATAAACCTCAAATTTATAATCACTTACATGAGCCTTAAGATGTTCATCCAGTGCCTTGAGTTCAACGAGCAAAGCTTGCTCAGATCCATCATTTGCATCTTTGCTCTTCAAAAACGTGGTGAATGTTCCGAATATGTCCGATCCACTGCAGTTTCAGTCGTAATGAACCCGTCAAATTGCCTATTTCAAATCTAGCCAAATCACCAAATTTTTTGTGTAGTATGATATTAGATGGATCATTGGTTCTTGATTCGATCAAATCCGATTCTTTACTCATCGGAGAAAGAAAAATATATATATACACATATATATAATTGATGGACCTTGTGAGTAAATTCCAAGGTAGAACAGTAAAAAGAATGCAAGAGACAACTTACACAGAGGCAAACTCAGGAGGGGTTTTGAGAGAAGGGTGAGGGTATTTTTCTTCAAGGATCCCAACAATTACATCAGAATCGGGCACCCATTTTCCATCAACTTTCAGCACTGGTACTTTCCCTTCTGGACTTATCTCCAAAAACCTGGCAAAAAAAATTCACGAATTCCATAATTTCACAGGGATCCATTTGCTCAAAAACTCCGAGAAAAGACGAAGATAACAGGTTTTTCCAGTTAAAATCATAAATTTAGGGCAAACCATTTGCTAAAACACTGGAAATAACACAAAAACACCAAAAAAGGGATCAAAGTTGGCATCTTTCAGTATAAAATAATATACCACAGTGGTTTGTCGCTGATATTGATAAGGTGCATCTTATAAGAAAGCTTCTTCTCCTCCAAAGTAAGGAGAGCTCTCTGGCTGAATGGACCTGGAAAAACAAAACATTATGAAAATGTAAAAGTAACTTCAAAACCAAAATCACCCAAAAAGAAGATAAAATATTGAGAAGAAAATGTGCGGAAAAAAAGAGAGAGCATACAGTCTCCAAGAACATTAGGGGCACCAACAGCAGCCTTGACACAAATCTCTAAAGCCATTTTTTCCCTTTGAGAAAGTTAAATTAGTTTGAGAGTTGAGAGAGAGTGAGTGATCAATACGAAATACCTGCTGAAGATGGTAGATTTAAAGCAATTGTTGAGCCTGTCAACTTCTAATTTGTGGCGATGGGGAACCGCCCGACACGATTAAATAGATATAAGGGTAAACTATGTCAATAGTCTCTTTTGTTTAGGATTTATTCGAATTTGGTCATCAATTTAAAAATTCGGAGTAAATAGTATGTCCGGTTTAAGTCCCTCCACCATTAACCCTTAACGAATATGTGACATAGTTGAAGAACTAAAATTGAACGAGAGTTAATGACCGATGGACTAAAATCGAATATATCAATAATATTAGGGACTAAAATCGAACATATCAATAATGTTATGCATTAAAATCGAACAAATCGAAACATTAGGGAACAGGAACCATGTACCCTTAATTTTTAAATTGGTGACCAAAGTCGGTCAGACTAAAAACATAAGAGACTATTCACATAGTTAACCTTAGATGTAATAATAAAATTATCTCTCTATGTTTATAATAATTATTTTAGTCTTTATTTTTTAATTTTTTAACATTTCTAGTCAAAATATTATTTATTAAAAATTATTAATTTATTAACGATTAGAGCATGTTATTAATGTGATACTTTTACATATACTTAATTATTAATGTTCATGAGTCATTTTATTAAAGTGATAATATGACATTTATCATATCATTAAAGTGATAACGTAACATGTGCTACGTCAGTAATTAAGTAGATGTGAAAGTGATATGTCAACCTGTGGATTGTTAGTCTACTAACTCATTTCTTTCAAGAATGAATCTTTTGATTAAAATTAAAATGTCATGGGTTAAAATGGTTAAAATGTTGTAAGAAAAATAAAAAATAAAATAGTTGTTTGTGTAAAATTTGGGGTCATTTTATCATTATGCCATTAAATAACATAAACTATCTATTTGGTCATTCACATGTTACTTAATTTATGTGGTTGACACCTACCTATTATTTATTTCAAACTTATATTTGACGTTATGTTTTGATTTTGTTTTGATCACTCACTGTTAAAAAATTAACCGTTGTAATGACATGTCACCATAAGATACTATCACGTTAGAATTGGAAAGTAACAAAAAATATTATTTTAGCATTATTGTTAATTTTTGAACAACGATCGACTAAAACAAAATCAAAACTTAATATTAACTATGATTTTAAAATTAAAATATTTGAGTAATCAAAGCAAAATGTAAGTAATAGGTGGATCAACAAACAAATATTTCACCTTTTTTATTTTTAGAGAAAAACAAATATTTCATCCTTAATTGTATGATCTATTGGAAACTAGAATAATCCCCGCTCTTCCCCGGATTTCCAATTTCTTTATATAATTTTTATTGAAGTAATAATAATTTTAACATAAAGTGTAAATTTATTAAACAATTATTCTTAAAAAATATATATATTTATAATAATAATAATTGATTATTTGTACCAACGAAGATTGGTTCAAGTAGTAAGCAACTTAATATCATTTAAGTAATGTATCAGATTCAAGTCTTTTTGTATGTAGAAAATTCTCATTGAGAGATTCATCCCACCAAAATCATGTGTATAACTCGGGTCGGTCCAGATTAACCAAGACGAAGCCTTGAAACTGGAGGACAACAAAAAAAAAATTGATTATTTGTGAAAAGATAAATTTATGTTTATTGTCTAATTTTGAATAGAATGCTCGTGTAACAAAAAAGAGGAAACTAAAGTCGAGTTATGAATCATTGTGGATATCAATTCTTACAGTACGATTATTTCTGATTTTTGGGACGTTTTTAATTATTTAATTGTTATTTTCATTTATTATTTTTTAGGAATGATTTTGACATCGTCACGATTAATTAAAGATGACAATTATTTGTTATAATGTTAATTTTTCTTGTTTTAGACTCTCAGATTGGATTTGAATACGTGATTTACGTTTGTAGATATTACGTTGCTTGATTTTATTTTCAGTTTTTTAGTGATATTTAAATAGTTTGATCATCTTTTATAGTTCATTTGTCGATTCAGTCAGATATTTATATGTCTACCTTTTATTCAAGTTTATTTGATTAAGTTTTTTTAACATTTTCCTTGTGTGGTTTTTGTGTGATCTTAAGTAGCTAGTTTCTTATGTTAATAATTATAGAAAAAAGTTTCTTTTTATATATTTAATTTTTAATTGTTGTCACAAAATTTCAATGTAAGTTGAATGTTTTTTTCTATTTTTCAATAAAACTAACGACTTTATCTTATTAAAAATATTTTTCTCTAGAGAAAATATTTAAAATTTTTACTTTTAATACTTAATTTTTTTTGTTAATATTTATAATTTTAAGAGTAAACTACTCATTTAGTACCTAAACTATCAGTTTTTGTTTGTTTTAGTACATAGACTTTAATTTTTTAAATCATACTTAACGTTTAGTTTTTTATTTCATTTTAGTACTTTGCCATTAAAAATTTAATGCTTTAGTACTTAAACTATTATTTTTGGCTCGTTTTTAGTTACTAAACTTTCAATTTTTCAAAACTTAATGTTATATTTTTTACGAGGTACTAAAATGGAATAAAAACTAAATGTTTGGTATGGTTTTAAAAAAAATAATAGTTTAAATACTAAAATAGACCAAAATTGATCATTTAAGTACTAAATTCATAATTTACCCTAACTTTAAATGGCACTTGATGTGACTCGATTCATTTAAGGATATACATCACTCGATATTTCAATCATTTAATAAATATAAAGCACTCAAACAAGCGTGAAAGCTTCTCACACCCCAATGAAGGGGCTAAATTTTTCTTAAATTAATTTCGGGGATTAAATTGAAATTTTAAATAAATTTGGGTACCAAAGTGAACTTTTCTTTAATTTCATATCCAAATTCAAAAAATAAAAAATTTGGAGGATCTGTGATGTAATTTTTCCATTTTCCTATTACATTTAGTTTATAAACCCTAAAATATAAAAAATTCTATTTTTGAAAAGTCCAAAGCCTCCTTTCTCTCTCTCCCTTAATAGAAACTTCTCCAAGACACTAATTTCGGTATTTGGACGTCGACCAATTGTCCATTCACGAAACTGCCAGCATCATTGTGTTCTTGACGTTGAGAGGAGTTACCTGGTGGCCTCGGATTTTCCATCGTCGTCAGTGTGTGACGGGGTAAAGAGGAACAAGTTTCTTACGAGTGATATGATCGCCAATAGCAAAGACCCGGAGAAGTACCCAAGTGGCCCCATCACATGAGCAAAGGCTAAGGAGTTTCAAGCAACCATGGAGAGTATGTTTACATCAAGTTTGGAACGTGATGAAAAAGGAATACAAAGGGAGGAACACTTTACGTTGCTTATGTATAAATTTGCATGAGAATTTAAAGTTTGCATAACATTCATTGCATTTAATAAGTGTGTTGTTAATTCAAGCATGCATTGCATTTAAATCATCTAGCTCATTTAGGGAAGTAGTTCATTAAACTAGTTCATTCATCAAACTAGTTCGTTTATTAAATTAACTCTTAATTGTTTTATGCATGTTTTCAATTAAATAATGAATAAAGTTCACCTTTGTGTCCAGGTACATGAGAGAAGTTGAATGGTTTCATCATATGCAAGAATGTCAGTCAGAATGTCTTCCAATTCTGGATGTGATACAGATGTATTTGGTTCTAGAAATCAATTGGACATTATTCTCTCTCTTAGTTTTCCAACGCCTTTTGAATCACCTTAATCCGATATAAGGAGTTTGAGATATGATCGATTTATTGAAGATAATGCAGGCTGGAATTTTGTTACGAGAATTTTATGCATAGATGATTTGGATGAGTTTGAGCCAAGGGAGAGTCTTTTCAACTTCAGCCAAGTGACAAGCCATTGAAGGACTCTTAATTCACCCATTAAAGGCATTCAAAGCTGATTGTTATCATCTAATTTCAAGGGTTGTTCATATTCTTCAAGGGAGCATGTAATGAAGGGTGATTTAATTCACTTATAAAGATAATTTTCAGCATGGAATAACAAGAGTCTTCCACCCATTGGACGAAATTAAGGCCAAATTCAGCTTCAAATTGTCTAGATTCATCCCTAAAATGATCTAGAATATTCATCCAACTTTGAAGATAAGAAGACAATGCATTCAAGTGCATTTTATTGTTAAATTGATGAGAATGTTTTCATCTTTTGAGTCTTTTCATATGCTTCTTAGAAATACTATATGCACCTTTGGGGATCATTTGTAGAGACACATTTGAATATATAAAACATCTTTGAGAGGTTGTTTTCATTCTTGTTCTCTTGTAGAACTTTATCGGCTTCAAGATAGTATTATAGTCTTCATCCATTTCCTTTTGTTATAGCGTTGGTTCCTAGCTCATCTATAGCTAGTGGGTCACATTCCATCTACTTCCACTTCGATTCCATCTATTTATATTGTTGGTTCCTAACTCCATATAGTTAGAGGGTCACAATCCATTTTCTTTTCAATCCATCTTTCATATTCCACGCCATTACTAACCTATATCTTCGCCATACTTTCATTACATCCAAACTACAACTTTCATCATCTTCCGTTCAAAGCAAGCAATTTAATTTCTTACTAGAATCACGATCGAGCAATCAAATATATGATTCAAAACTCATAATTGAGATCATATCATTTGGTATCAGAGATAGCCGATTCAGTAAGCATATCGTTTCATTTTTTCTCTACCGGGTTAGTAAAAAATAAAAAAGAAATCAAGAAAAGAAAAGAAAAGAAAAGAAAGAAACAAGTTTAAAGAGGGAGGGAATAATTCTTTTCATCTTTAAAAAAATATATATATTTACGTCATATTTATAATCAATTTTGTTACCTTTACTTACCATCTTTTTTCCTTGTTGCCAATAACTTTTCACTATCCTTACTACCAAGCCAAAATTGTTTCAGCGAAGTCAACTAGACCTTGTAAGCCTTGAGAAAGTTCCCAAAAGGACTTGAAATCAAAGCACGAGTGGTAAAAGGACTTGTAATCACCATTTTTACCTCAACAGCAGCCCCT